GGAAAATGGTGCTATGAGTAGGCAAAACAGTCAGAGACACCCCGACTCCTACTGTTAGGAGTACCATGAAAACTCCAAGCAAAACAACCACAGCATAGGCAGCGGACCTAATGCAGACCTCTAATGCAGGCTCTGTGCTGTAGAGTCAGTCTCTGTGAGCCCCCCAAGCTTTGCTTTGTTGATTCTGTGGACCATGTGCTTGTGGTATCATTGACCCCTGTACTCTTACATTCCTTCCTTTCCCTCTTCTCTTAGGTTCCCTGAGCTCAGCCTGCTGTTTGGCTCTGGATTTCTGCATCAGCAACCATCCACTGCTTGAGGAAGCCTCTCTGATGAGATCGGGCTGGATGCTCATCTCTGAGAATAGCAGAGTACCATCAGGAATCAGTTCATTTCACTGACTCCTTGGTCATTCATGTTTGATTTTGCCTAGGTCTTCAAGTTTCTGGTCATCTGGGCAGTTTCAGGCATGAGCTCCCTTTCATGGCTTGGGCCTCAAGTTAGAAGAGTTATTGGTTTAACAGTTATTAAGAACAATAATTCAGTTTCCTAATATTTTGGTGAGACATTTTTGCATCTGTATTCACGGTGAAGAGTGATTGGGCTGTACTTTTCTTGTTTTGTTTGATCTTATTCTATTTTTTCTCAATCAATATTTTGTGCCTTCACAGTGTTGTTTTGTATGTACAGCATTTTCATTTCAGGTAATCCTCTCTCTCTCTCTCTCTCTCTCTCTCTCTCTCACTCTCTCTCTCTCTCTCTGTGTGTGTGTGTTTGTATGTGTAGACTCAAGAATGTGTGTCTGTACTTGTGTGAACATGCCTGCAGAGGTCATGGCAGAATCTGTAGTTTATTCCTCAGGTGTTATTCAGCTTTCTTCATATTGAGGTAGTCTCTCACTGGAGTGGAACTCATCAAGTAGTGTAGACTGGCGTAGCTGTGAACCCAGGATGTTCTTTTCTCTACATGCTCAACATTGCCATTACAGATCTGTGCCATCATACACACTTTTTTTGTATGCGGTTCCTGTGGACTGAATTCAGAACTTCATGCTTGCATGGCAAACATTTTACCAACTTTTCCATTTTCCCAGGTTCCTCACCTTATCATCTTGGCTTCTTCTTCATCATCATTATTATTATTTTATTATTGTTATTATTATTATTATTATTATATTATACTTTGGTGTTGAGTCTAAAAGCTCAATGTTTGAAGTGCTACACAGATTTTTCTATCATGTTCTCTACAAAGGATCTTGCAGTTTCAAGACTTACCTTAATAACTGAGCTCTTCAGCCAGAACATAGTCAAATCTAAAACATAGATGAACTAAAATTATTCACTTATTCCACTCCTGAATTTATGTTAAAGAAATGCAAAGCAGCATAGAATGTAGGAAAGTACACACCCATGCTTCTTGTTGCACTACTGGTAGCTCCCAATTCATGGAATCATCTGAGTGCTCACAGGCAAGGAGTAAATGAAGAATTCCGGTACACGCAACCCATGGGATATATTCTATAGTTAAAAAATAAAGCCATGCCATTGCCAAAGAGATGGAATGAAGAAGGTCATGTTATACCATGTAAGACAGATGGGGAAGAAGAACATCAGCTCTTTCCTCTTGTGTGTGGAACAAGAGGAATACATGACACCGCAGTGTAATTATTAGGGAAAAACACACCCAGAGCAGGGGTAAATCTACTATATACAAAATAGTGTGTGAAGTGTGATTAAAGCATCTTGTGTGTAGAAAATACGATAATGAAGTCTATTACATGGACTACTAACATACACTTAAAGAGTGACATGCCTGTGCTTTAAGTTTGTTTCTAATTTAGTCACCTTTCCAAACCTCTGTGTGAATGAGTGTAATCAATGCTTTGTGTGTAAGTGTATGAATAAGAATGCATTCGGTACTTTGCATGTATGTGTAAAATTACATGCAAATATTCAATTGTAGACCTTTAAGAGCTCATAGCATTTGACTTAAAATCTCCCTTATTTTAAAGAATTTATTTGTATTAATTGCAATTTTTTAGAAGTATACAATGCATCTTAATCATACATTTCTCAACCCCCTTTCTCCAACTCCCTGTGGCCCTCCTCCCCTACACATCTCTTTTACAAATTCAGGTTCTTTTCATCTTCATTGTACACAGCTCAGAGCCCAACTAGTTTTGATCAGATGCATCTGGCTGTGGCTTTTTCCACTAGAGTGTGGGCATCCTGCCAATGGCCACCACCCCTCAAAGAAAAGTGACTCTCTAGCCATTAGCAGACCTTAACTGCCAAGAGCATCTCCACCAGGAGTGGGGACATCTAATGGAGATTTCAGTTACAGTTACCTCTTTTATTACCACAGAAATGCCACACAGTGGCATGTAGCGATAATTCATTTGTGTTGTGTTAGTGTAACACATATCTGATTGCTATTTTACTTTGTGACCATTATAAATTGTACTTGAATGCATAATAAAGTGAAACCATTTGCTTGAATCCTGCAACTGTTGTAGCTATGTCCACAGTTGTACAATTTCTCAGTTATATGGTAACTTTAGGCTCAAAATTTTGAGGATTTCTCAAATAGTCATCTTACTAACGCTGCAGCAATACTTCACAGGCCCAACATTGATGTGAGAGAGTCTGTTTTCCTCTGCAGTGTCTCATTGTGAAGTCCAAGCTGGCTTCATAGGCTCTCACTGTGCAGTGACGCTGACCTCACAGGCTCCACTGTGCAGTGACGCTGACCCCACAGACTCTCACTGTGCAGTGACGCTGACCTCACAGGTTCTCACTGTGCAGTCATGCTGACCTCAGGCTCTCACCCTGCAGCCCATGTTGACTTCATATTGACACTGATGCTTCTGCCTGAGCTTCATGAATGCTGGGATCACAGGCATAATCCACCATACCTGGTTTGACTTCTATTATTTTGCTCACTTTTTTAGTTAACCTCTATTGTTCCCTCTCTTCTACTCTTCCATTTAAAATTATTTCACTGTGACAGAATTCATCCTCTATGTGGCATATGATATTCATCACACTGTATTATGTTAATTCAATTGTATAATTTTATATATCAGTTAAATTTTTACAATATATTTAAAGAGATGTGCATTCTGGGCTAAATAGTTACACTGTAGCACTTTTAATTGCTCAATAGAGCTTTTGTTTTCTTCCTATGTCTCTTACACCTAATGTCATTGCTATGGAATATAGAATCGTTTCTGTCTTATAATTATGTTTTTTACATGAAGAGAAATGTGGCTTCTTTCATATTGTCTGTCTTGTCTTAAATAACTCTGTTATATGAAAATGAGATTTCAGACTTTAGCAATAACAATAGCCAATGCAGCCTTCACTACATGGGAACAACAATACTAAATATCTTAAAACAATATTCAATAAAAATGCAATATTCAATATATATGAATGTGTGTGCCTGTGTGAGTGGGGGTAGGGGTGGTGTGTGTAGAAAGAAGTGTTTATATAGATCACTGTGTGGGAGATGATATGATTTTATGTATCAGTTAAATTTTAAAATATGTTTAAAGAGATGTGCATTCTAGGCTATGTTTGCACTGTGGTGCTTCGTTATATTGCTCAGCATAGCTTTCACTACCTCCCTCTAACTCTTGCACATAATGTCATTGCTATGGAGTATAGAATCATTTCTGTCATTTTTTCACATGGGGAGGAAGCAGACTTAATTTACATTTTGTCTGTCGTGTTCCTGATGGTTCTGTTATATCAGGACAATGGAATTTTGAAGTTTAGCTATGACAACAGGTGGTGCAACCTTAACTAGGTGAGAACAAAAATGTCTTAAAGCAATATTCAATAAAAAGGCACAATTCAAAATTATATGAGCTGTTCTCCACATTTGCAAATACGTGTGTGTGAGTGTGTGTGTGTGTGTGTGTGTGTGTGCGCGCGCGCGCGCACGCAAGCGTGCGCACACTTCTGTGCATGCACAAGCACTCGCAGAGAAGTAGTTACTTAGAACACTGGGTGGGAGATGACATTATAATTCAAGAAACAGGATGAAGGACAAAGAGAAGACTGTGGAAACATAAGAGCTCAAGGTGCGGGTGTTCCTATTGAAGGTCACACGGAGGCTCAAATGGGGGTGTTCCCAGGCGGCGAGAGGCCCTACAGGCAGGACTGGCTTCACGTGGAGATGATGCTGGGTAGGGTCAGCAGAGCATAAAAGCCTGGCTTTGTGTGCCATCACCTACCAAGGAAAACTGAGGAAATAAAGGGACCAGGGTTATTCCATGCCACTCTAAAGAAAGAAAACTAAAAGAATAAAAAAAAACTTTCTACAGAAATGAGACAAAGAGTTGTCCTGTGTTCACCCATTGCCCCTCAGTGTGAGATGGGAAGTCACTGAGCCTCGCATTTTTCACTCTGTGAAAAAGAACCTTCTCTATCTCCTTGAGTTGTCACAAAAATAAAATAAAGCCACCCACTATAAACGTATGTTCACAATGAGTCCAACAAATTTGTTCAGGGTCAAGACTAGTAACAAAAGATAACATGGGTAGGAAACAATTATGGGGAGTTAAGAGAAAAAGTCCAGATCAGTATGGGAGAACCTGTAGGAGATATCAGAAGGAAGCAAGATAGTGAAGAGGTTTTCTTGTTATGCAGTGTCATAAATCCACTATTTAAACTCTTTAATGGATACTTCAGTGAACACAGAAATCAGGGTAAAATGATAAACAACTTAAGAGGAACAAAGATTTTAGACAGTACCTCTTCCATTATGCACTTCCAGCATCGCTTATGCAAGGTAAGGAGGACACTGTAGCCACATATGAAAGACAATTGTTCCTACTTTCACTATTCCAGTAAACCTGCTCTCTTTCATGTATTGAACAGTTATGTAACATGATGTTTCATGTAGATTCTATGATTTTGGACAATATCTGACATAAAATATTGATATCAATACATTTATTACATAAAATTAGGTAAAAATCTCAAGCGCTATCATTACAAAGAGATTGTCTTACTGCAGATAACTCTTATTAAGGCTCCCTTCATGTCTCTGTTCCTCAGGCTGTAGATGAAAGGGTTCAGCATGGGAGACACCACTGTGTACATCATGGCTAGGACAGTCTCCTTCACAGTAGAGTTATTAGCTGATGGACATAAGTAGAGACCAATGACTGTCCCATAGAACAGAGACACCACAGACAGGTGGGAGCCACAGGTGGAGAAGACTTTGCAGATGCCTTGGCTAGCTGGAACCTTGAGAATGGAGGAGATAATCTTTGCATAGGACATAACAATGAGTAGTAATGGTATAATAACCATGAGCCATCCCATGATAAATATCATCAACTCATTAACATAAGTGTCTGAGCAGGCCAGCTTTAGAAGAGCAGATATGTCACAGAAAATGTGAGGAATCACATTGTTCTCACAAAAAGACAATCTGGCCATGAGCATGGTGTGCATCATGGCATTGAATGTGCTCAGCATCCATGAAAGCAGCAATAGACTAGCACAGAGCTTGGGGCTCATGATGCTGGTGTAATGAAGGGGGAAGCAGATGGCCACATAGCGGTCATAGGCCATGACCACAAGAAGGAAGGATTCCATGTCTCCAAAGGACATAAAGAAGTATAGCTGTGCCAGGCAGCCTGCATAAGGGATGGGTGGAACTTGGCTCTGCATGTTCTGCAGCAACTTGGGCATTGTGACAAAGGAAAAGCAGAGGTCAGAGAAGGACAAGTTGCTGAGAAACAAGTACATGGGCGTGTGGAGATGAGAGTCCAGTAGAATAAGGACAATAATTAGCAGGTTCCCTAAGACAGTGGTGAGGTACATGGCCAGGAACAGGACATAGAACAGGTGCTGGTGCTCTGGGGGGATGGGCAGGCCCAGGAGGAGGAACTCTGAGACTGAAGTTTGGTTCTTTCCAGTCATTCTCTGCCTCCAATGACTTTAAGAAAAAAAAAAAGTTACTATTTTCTTCAACTTCCAGTAGTTAAGCCTGTATGAGATCACAGATCATTCTATTTAGTTGTTTACTTTATAAAGAATTGTTCTCTATTTTCACATTTTTGAACATGGAATAACCTTATTCTCTTTATTTCCTCAAGTGTCTTTGATAGGTGATGTCACACAAATTCTGCTGACACCTTCCCCCAACATCCATCTCCATTTCCAAATGAAAATGAACATGGTTGAGATACACACGTTACAAGCTCTACAGTAATTAATCTTACTCTTAGCAAAGTAAAGTTAGTCTCTACATTAAGGTACGTTTAGCCATTACAGCCATGAAGAACTTTTCTTAATGTTGTCTTAGCAGGTTTTATTGTTGTAGTTTTGCATAATCACATCTGATTGCTTCTGATACAAAAAAACTGTACTGGCATTTCTCTTTCCTGCATTCCTGATTATTTTAGGCTATTGTAGTTTACCCCATTGTATAGTTTATTTCTGTGAGCGTTCTTGAAGAATTTTGTAACCCCACACTCATAATTCGTTATGATACCCCAAAACACATATTCTTTAATGTGTTACATTAAAGAGTAGCTGTCTCTTTAACCTACAAAATTATCTATATCATTACTGACTAATTATCTTCTATATTCCCCCCTACCACAGGCATATGTGGCTTAACGCATTTCAAAAGAAATTTACTCCTCTCTCTCTCTCAACATATTATTTCTCTCACTTCTCTACTTTTTCATATATAAAAAATTTAATTCAAGATCCAATGATATTAATGAATTAATATTTTATGTTTCAGTTCATATGGTTGCCCTGATACTAATGTAGGAAAATAAATACAATGAACATTTTCTAATGTATCAGTTAATTTTAATATCTCCTTCAGTTTACATATAGATATCCATACTTACCATGATAGTAAAATTTCTAAGAACTGGTCTAGGTCTTGAAAGTAATTTTGGTCAAATTAAAGTTCTAGATATTTCTATGAATGTGTTTTACCATGTTTTCAACACTGAACTTAGTTATTAACATTATATCAGAGTAAAGTAACTAACCTGTCATAATGTGGCGAGCCTCATGCCACTAGTTGATAGAATAAATAGAAAAACTACAGTAATATAAGGGAAATCGTCCACCTAGTTTCTGAGGATTATTTTGTTCTGTGAATGAGTTCTGTGAATGACACATCTTTCATGAGTTTACATGAAAATATTACAAAGGAGAGATCACTCATGATGGCTGTTGCTCCCGACCTGATGAACTTTATTTCTTCAGTTGTTAAACTCACATTTTTTTTTTACCTGAATAGCAGATGAGACTCTAACATGGAAATGGTTCTAGACCTTAATATACATGCAGCTCATCTGGAATTATCTGGAAACACTGACTCTGGTTTTGAACTAATATTCAACTTTATAAATGGATGCACAATGATGTGAGCACTTTGTTTCACGGGCTGCAGTAACGAGCAAGTACATGCATTATTTGAAGTTACAGATCTCTGAGCTCTTTTGGATAGGAGATCTCTTAAAAGCTTACCAATTGTCCAAAACTAAAAACATAATAAAAAGAAGGCTTAAGAACTTCAGCATTGCCCCTACCCTAAAAAGCTGTTATTAGGTTGAAACGGAAAAAGAATTGTCCAGTAAGTAATTGTAAGAAAACCTGTCATCACCAAAATCATTTCCAATCTCGCTGTGAAACAAGGTATTTCTACAATATGTCAAAGTGTTGCAAAGTATAAAAATGGTAAAAAAATAATGTCATACCTCAAAACTTCCAGTCATACCATCATAAAACTAGAAATGTAAGATCTGTAGTTTGGAGGGCAGTCACCCTGGCAATTTACCTAGGGTGACTAAAGGTGACTGAGGTCCCTGCTTCAGACCCTGCTCACATGTATTTGTTACAAGCACAGAAAAGAAATCCTCTGCAGTCAGCAGTCTCACATGTCCCGTTAGCCACCCTGGGCCCAGGGGGCTCTGCAACCCAGAGGAGTCCAGACCCTCTGCAATTACCCAGGGACTATCAAACCAATTCTTTCAAAGCCCTGAGGTGGTCACTAATCACCCCTGAATATACGCTGGGGGAAGGTAAAAATGAAGAGAAGGCCATCTGCCTATTTACCCTTTGCCTGTTTGTGGACTGAGTAGGACTCGTGTCTACTGCAGCTTAGACTTTGTGTTATTTAAAACCCCCTAAAGTAACTGTAAAGGCTTTGTGTTTAAGGAAGTTGGCTTCATTGATCTAGATTATCTACTTGAGGGGATGGAGTTGTGCCCAGCGTTCTTCTGTTACACTCTAAATTTTCTTGACACATACAGCATGCCTCCTCTTTCATTTTGTATCTTCATGATGTATGCGCATTTTCTTCATCCTTTGCTTGACTATTGGGTTTTTTTTATCACTCTTTTAAAAAATAGCTTTGGTTTTATTGGTCTTTTTTGATAATTTGATTTTCAATTTCAACTAATTCCTACTTTGTGGTGTGTGTTGGGGGGGGTGCACAGGTGTGTATTTTCTTGCTTCCTTTGACAGTAAGCCATTCTTCTCTTTCTCAGTTCCTAACTTTAGATCTTGTTTCTTTTTCAGTGTTTGGATTCTGTAATATTAATTTCTTTCCAAATTCTGGTTGCTTTTTCCTCTACAATCTCAATAGTTGTCTTTTTCTATGTATCAAATTCAAAGTATAAGTCTTGGAAACTTAACACTTTATCATGGTGCAGCAAAGAAGAACAAGGAAAAGAACTAAACTATTTATATGATTGTGCTGGTTTGAATGGTTATGGTACCCATAGATTCATGTGTTTGAATGTTCAGTCCATAGGGAGTGGCATTATTTGGAAGGATGGCCTTGCTGGAGAAAGTATGTCACTGTGAAGATGGACCTTGAGACTTCATATATGTGTTCAACCTATGCCCAGTGTGAAATCCAGTCTCCTCCTGGCTGCTTGCAGAAAACATTCTCTTCCTGGCTGTCTTTGTATTAAGATGTACAACTCTCAGCTCCTTCAACACCAAGTGTGTGTGCATGATCCCATGGTTCCCACCATGATGATAATGGACTAAATCTCTGAAACAGTAAGCCAGTCCTAATTAGATACAAATATGAAAATACTGATTAAAATATCACCTAACCACTAAATAGTTTGTAATATACCAACTTCTCCCTCACACAGGCAAATACATTTCAATAACTCAGAAAATGTCTGAAAACAAAGGTAGTACCAAAATTATTTTTTATTATATTATTAAAATTTTTTAGGCGGGGCAAGATGGCGGCGCCGGGAGGACTCTCATTCTGAGGAGCAGCACAGCAGGATTGGCACAGTGACCAGCAATCAGAACTCTTGGCCATAAAACACAAGTGATTGTGTTTCTCAGGTGAGAGGATACCCTACAGTGGGGGATTCAATCAGCTTTAACTCACCCAGCTAAACCGCGGAAGAGATCCCGGTTCCGCCAGGCGCTTGGTCTTCAGCCCAGAGCTACCCGCCAGCGCCATCTGGTCACAGTCCCAGACTGAACTGTGGGCCCACAACACCATAGACTGGATTTCCCAGTCGATAGATAACCCCATGGAGCAGGAAACAATTGGGACTGACCTCAGGTTACCCAAACATCCCCTGGAAAAGACTCGGGTTCCGCGGGTACCCCAAGAGCCAGCCCGGACCCAGAGCCGGGAACCCAGGCGCCTGCACGGAGCCCTGCCTGTGCGCGTGATTCGCCGCCTCAGATAGAACTGTGGGCACCAGGGCAACAGGGCACCAGACTGCGTGTCTCTGGCAGGAGGAAACCCCCAGCGGAAAGGGTCAGCAGCTCTAATGCTTAGGACACCCAGCACCAAAACACTTCCTGGACTCACGCAGACTCTAGTGCAGGCAGGAGCGCTGTGCTTAGCCGCCATTATTGAGTTCCCCTAGGGCACTGGGACACACAGCTGCATCCTCAGACCTACAAAAGCCAGAGAGCCATTACAGCAGCCCTCAGATACTGTGCCAAGGATCAACCAGTTATCCCTAGCTAGACTGTCAAAACTGTGGGAATCCCTGGTCCTTCAAGAGGGCTGCACCCACAGCGTCTGGACCAGAGCAGTGCCTGCAGCCGCCATCCCAGACAGAGACACACAGCTTCTGGTCCAGAGTGAGGCACCCAGCCTCCAGACCAGAACAGTGCCCCCAGGTGCCAACTCAACCTAGGTGCACATTCTCCAGGTCCAGAGCGGAGCAATCAGCCTCTGGCGCAGAGACTTGCTGAGTGCACCTCCCACTTTCCCGGACAGAATTGTGCGCCTCAGGATAACAGACTGAGTTTCCCTGTTGGGAGAAAACCCCACAGCTAGGGAATCAGCAGTCTCTTCAAGAGGACTGTACATGGAAATTTAGTGAGCAGCATCACACTAAATTTATAACAAGAAAATTTATAACAAGACAGCTGCAGTGGGGCAGCTGTCTTGGGAAATTCTATGGGTAAGAGGAGATCCCCCCTGCCTAACATAGACCACAGCTACTACTCAGGGCTATAAACCTGAGGTGAGCAGTGGCAACTCCTGAGAAACACTGGCCATACAGTGACCATAACCAAAAAGCAGAGAAGGACTCCTTCAGGAAAAATCATCTTCCGGCCTAGGGGATACTCCCTACCTCAGGACTCCAGGAAGCACAGAAACTAACAGCCAACACCTAAATCAGCCCAATGGGTAGAGGTCAGCGTAAAGGCTCAACCAACAAAAGACAGAGCAATATGGCATCTCCAGAACCCAGCCATCCAGGGGCGAACAGCCCTGAACAATGCAGCATAATAGAAAATCAAGAAGATGACCTTACATCTATGTTGATGAAGAGGATAATAGAGGAAACAGATAAAATACGTAAAGAATTAGAGGAAGATAAAACCAAACAGATCATGGCTATCCGTAAAGAAATGGAGGAAGATAAAGACAAGCAGATTAGGGCCATCCGTGA